CCAGATGTCCAAACTGTCCATCAAACCGTATCGCCACCTTCCAAGGCCAGGGGAGCCTCTGAAGATGGACAGTGTCAGCTGCACTCAGAGATCTCCCTAAGCAACTCACCTCGCTCTCATGTCAGTATCTCCGCACCTGGCCCACACTTACCAAGGCCACCTACCGGGGCCACACTCTGAAAGAGAACCTACCTGGACGGACGATCAACAAGGAGGACCTGTGCACAACTGTTCTCAGGAACTCCCAGGAGAGGCAGCAGCCAAGACATGGAAAGGATTTGGGAGGGGGCACTGCCTCTTTGAAGGGATGCCCCAGAGAAAGAACGGCTAAGTAGGCTAATGCATACAGATGTATCCTCCCAGGGTCTTCCACCCACACACCACGAGCATTACTGGGAAACAAGGCTCTTTTTCCCTATAAACTAATCTCTCTTCCTGAATGGAAAATTTTGGTCTAAGCCCACAAAGGAGGGGGGAGAAATAAAGTTTAATCTTTTAGATGTTATAAGGCTTACCTCTGCAGATGTCACTAAGTCCTCAGACCAAATTTGGTTATGGAGATGACTTGGAACTTTGAGAAAAGAGCTGGCTGGCCAGGAAGGCACGCTTGTTTATTTATTCATCTCGAAAACATCTAACAATTTTCCCATAATGTTTAAGCCATAAATATAGCATGGCATTTCTGTGTATAAAACCTTCCAATGGCTTCCCCTTAGGATAAAACCCAACTCCTTCTCAGGCCTCAAGGGCCTGTAGGACCGCACTTCATTTATATAATTTTATCACTGTCCCCACCTCTGGGCCTTTGCACATGCTAGTCCCTCTCTCTGAACCGTGCTTCATGCAGACAACTGTCCTAGAAGGAGGCTCCATCAGGACAGGTGTCTGCATGGATGACCCATACATGTCAGCTACTTCTTTTCACGTAGGTCTGAGATCACCTCTCTCCTCCTTGAAAAGTCCCCCCAAGTCACTATCATATTGCCACATTATCATTTTTGTAACCTTTTCCATGATCCTTCTACAAATATATTTCTATATCTTGCCTATGTCTGGTTTCCTCTGGGACAGCAGGAACTCTGAGAAGGCAAAGTTCTCTGCTTTGTTCACCAAGCACAGGGTCTAACGTGCCATGTGTTCAGAGTAAGCATTTACTGAGTTAGCCACCCCTTCCCCTAAGATGACACACCCATCTGGAGGAGCAGGTCGCAGTCACCCACGTCTGTGTCTAGTGACCACTGACAAACCAGTGCAATGAACCGTGGTGCTCAGAGCGACTACAGATTCAAAATGTAAGGACAGTTGTCTCTCCTTACAACTCCACATGGCCATTTTTCATGATAACCCCCAGCCTTACAACCTGTATTCACTGTTGACATCATCTGAAAGCGCTGGGTCCCCTCATTCTGAAGTTCCATCACTGATTGATTCTTTAATTAAAGTTTTAATATTTATACTTGTGCCTTGAGGCAGTATTTTAAATAATGGAGGCAGACATTGGGAAGAGCCTCTTTGCTTCTTTGAAAACATCGTCTCCGTGTTTGAGGTCTTCGGGACAACTGTATGGGTGAATGCGGAGGTGACAGATTAAGGGATGCTTTTAGGAATGTCAGCCGGTATTAATTTGTGTCCTGTGCTTACTGTGGAACTCCCATGCTGGGTGGCAAAGGCAGGATGAGCTGCCCTGTGTCCTTCAGAGAAAATGTGCTCAGATTTCAATAGTCTCCTTACACGCCACTGGGAAATCGCTGGGTCCCCGAAGTATTTTCTGTGTCAAATACAATTTCCCTCTTGGAACATGCTCATTATTCCATACATCAGCTTAAAGGATGCAAACAAAGTGGTCTACTTTTTGGAAAGGTGAAATGTCAGACATATACACAGGGCAGACCCAATTTTCTGAAAATAAAAAAAAAAATTACCTGAAAGGACTTTGATAAAATATAATGGCTTGGTATGGCTTGAGCTAAAAGGACTGAACTATTTTTTTTTTAAAGTCATCAGAGACATGAGGACGTCTAGAAGACCTGTGCTCAGACCTTACAGAAGGAGATAAAAAAATAGCATCAATTATCATGAAGAGAAAATAGGGCGGAATGGGTCAATTCCAGGAGGAGAAACCTGCTCAGACCCAAGTTCCAGCTTGGTTTCCGTGTGGAAAGCTCTGGGGCCACAGGGTGATGTCAAAGAGTATGTTCTGAGGGGAGCACAGTTTACTAAGATGTTACTGAAACTTCATACCTGTTGGTGAGCAAATCCCTACTCCCCTCTCCCCCTAGACCCTAGCCACCAGCCTCTGCTCTCCGCTGTGATGAGCTGGACTATTGTAGAGCCCTCCTATAAGTGGGGCTCCTGATGCAGTAAAGATAAACAAGTTTTGGGGATCTACTGTACAACACTGTGCTCATAGTTAGCAATACTATATGATATACCTAAAAACCTACGAAGAGGGTAGCTCTCATGTTGTGTTCTTACCACAACAAAATGAAAAGTAAAATTTAAAAAAACTTGATTGAAGTATTTATTCCTACATTCAGAGAGGTTTATAAATGGACAATGAGTGACCACAGTTGTGTTTATACAGTTAAAAAAAATACAAAAGTTTATATTTAAACACAGTCATTGTAATGTGTGAATCACAGGATAAATGCTAAAGCCCTTCTAACATTCTTTAATTCCTGTGTTTTCAAAATAGTCCATGTATTAAAGGAGTGTTTTCCAATTAAAAAAAAATATATTACTAAGGCCATGTTTCCAGTCCGGAAGGCTAAGGACTTGAAGGCCTGCTGGGTTCTTCTTCCGGTCAGAGGAAATGCACAATCGCTGCAAAAACTTAATTTCAGGGTATAACACTTGTCAAGACAGCAAGTCAGATGTCACCAACCTACGTCCCAGCCAGAGGGCAGCTCGCCCCTGATCCTCCTTGGAACTTGGGAGAGGTCAGGCCAGCTTTAGCGTTGAGGGCTCGAAGATTCTGTTGTTTACTTAAAAGAAAACGCATGTGTGCAAGGCAAGCTACCTGCCTTCTCCATCCCACCCGTTTTATGTGACTCAAAAATTAAAGCAAGCTATTTATGAAAAAAAAAGAAGAAGAAGAAAGAAAACTAACATAATTCAGGAACTTACCATGTGCCAGACCCTGTTCTAAGTGTTTATTGCTTTATTTAATTCTCACCAAAACTCTCTGAGGACAGAACTACTACAGAAACTCTCATTGTACAGGTGAACAAAATGAGGCACAGAGAGGTAAAGTAACTTTCCCAAGGACACACAGCTGGTGGATTACTGAGCCAGGAGCCCTGTGATCTTCTGGGCCACTAAGCTGTACTTTCTGGACCCTTAAGGTGTCACCTCCACTACTGTAAGGAATGATGCCTTTTTTCCTAACCCAACTGGACGATAAGCTAACTTAGGGGAAACCCAGGACATTCTCCTGGACCCAGGGCCTCCCAGATGAACTCAAAGAGGAAGAAGGGTTGGACTCAGCCCCAGTATTTCCCCGCGCAGCCACTGTCAGCGCCAGCTTCACCCTTCATAGGCCCCAGGTCCTTTGCCTCTGAAGATAAAAGATCTTGGCTAAAAATAATTCTGCCAGTGGCTCCAGCCAGGCCCACTGTGGTCACTTAAAAATTGAAAGGATGCAGCCCTCTCATCTTTTTTCTCCCCCCCTTTGTAACAAAGATAAACGATAAACGGAAGGCGGGTGAACCAGGCGGGGGTGGCGGGTGCAGGGAAGGGATCTCAGGCTGGGCACGTCCTGAACTTGTGCAGTCAAGGCCATGTCTCTTCGCACGTTAGGTTGAAAAATACAAATAAGCAATCGTCATTATCATAAACGAAAACCCAAGTTATGACACATTATGTTTCAGCTCTAACAAAGCTATTCCTCCGCACCTCCCCCACTTCTTTCCAAGTTCGACTGCGAAGACCCGCGGTTGGGTGCCAACTCCCCGGACTGCCTGTCCAGTATTTCCAAGCTCGAGAGCAGCCCCGCCCCAGACTCTCCCGGGCAGCCAAGTGCACCCCAGTTCTGGCCCAGCCAGGAGCGATGAGCCCCCTATTCCCTGGCAGTAAGGAATGGATGGAGTTGGGAGCTCCGGGCCAGGATAGGATCAGGGTCTTCCCCTCCCTTCTTGAGCCAGCAGTCTCCGGGCTCCCGTGACACCTGGTCCCTGAAGCAGGCGCCTGGGAGGCTCCAGGAGCATCTCAGCCAAGGGGCCTCCTGGGCACGGGGAGATGGGAGCGGCGCCTGGCGACCCCGCCCTCGCCTCCCCGGACAATTGGGTGACTGGAGCCGACAGGGGTTGACCACCCCCTCCTCCGCCCGTGCTCTGAGGCAGGGTGGAGATCTGCTACCCCCTGGGTTTCCTCCTCCAGGGGAAGGTGCTCTAAGGCACCGAAGGATCTAGGGGCGCAGCAGGAGTTTCCCACTCCCGAGTTTCCCTGCTGGCCCCTCCCCTGGAGTCCAGGCGGCATCTCGGGGCGTTGACCCCGGTGCCAATAAACACAGCTGCGCTCCAGCCAGCCCAGCGAGCCTCCTCTTCCCCGCCTCGCACAAGGGCTTCGGCGTTTCTAGGCGCCCTCGGGGCCACCGAGGTGCCTCCTCCTTCAGAGCCCACGAAGGGCAGCGACCCGGGTGCGCTTCCAGCCCGCCGGGGAGACTAACCCAAGTGCGCAGGCAGGTTCCCGCTGCTCCCTGCACCTAGGGCTCGCTCCCAGGAGGACCGACAGGCGGCCCGGGCGCTTCGGAGGGGCGCTCTGGGGCGAGGAAGGACGTATTTCTGGAAGCAACGCAGGAGGGAGGGGGGGTCATGGTCTCAGTCCCTCGGGGGTGGGGAGCCTGCCCCGAGATCGCTCCACACACACTGAAAAAGTTCCCGTCCAGCACACCCAGATCAGCGCTGGGAGGAGGCCAGCTCCTGGGGACCCAGCTCTTCCCTCCGTGGGACCCTTTGGGCCAGGTCAGGGGGCGCAGAGGCGGTGACTTCGCCTGGACTTACCTAGAACTCCCGGCGCGACCGGCTGCGGTGGCCTTCTCCTCGGCCCCAGACCCCCGAATTCCCTGGCGCTCTCTGCACCCCGGCCACACTCACCATGAGCTGGAGGCGGCGAAGGGGGGTGCCGGCTTCTCCAGCACTGTCCGCAACTTCGCGGCAGGTCAGCCCCGCCCTGGCGCCCCTGCCTGGGCACGGCGAGGGTTCGGCCCGGCGGGGGCCCTGATGGCCACTGGGCGGGGGGTCTGGAGCGCGAGGGTTCTCAATCCCGGGCGCGCGGTCCGCTCCTCCTCGCTCTGTCTGCCTGGGTCGAGACTCGGAGTTCTCTCGCTCCGGACGCCACCGGGGCGGGGCGCGCGGCTGTCCCCTCCAGATGCGGGGTGCTCTGCTCGTTCCTTCCCTCTCCGGCCCGGAGGCACACTCGTGGGTCCGGTCGCGGCCACCGATCCCGGGGCTGGCAGAGCGCCCCCGCCCCTCCGCGGTGCAGCTGGGGCTGGGGCGAAGGGGGAGGGATTCCCCTCCTCGAGTTCGGGTTTCCCCACCCCGCGCGGACCCCGGGCTCTGGCCGCCGCTGCGCCGCTGCGAGCAGCACTTCAGGGCAGCGCAGCCCGTGCACCGGCTCCAGCTGGAGGAGGCGGCGGCGGCGGAGGCGGCGCGGCTCGCACCGGGACTGGAAAGGAGGTGACCTTCAAACCCCGCGCTCGGGGAGACCAGGAAGGGGGCTGGGGCGATGAGGGGAGCAGCGAGCACCCGGACGGCCCGCGAGAGAGCTTGCAAGCGGGCGGGAGAGAGCCCAGAGGAGAGCTTCCAACAAAAATATAGATTAGAAAATAAACAAAGGAGAGCGAGCGAGAGAGCGAGAAAATGTGTGCATGTGTCTGTGTGTGTGCGCGTGTGTGTCTGTGTGTGTGTGAGCGCGCGACAGGCAGCGAGCAGCCCCGGCTGCGGAGCCAAAAATAATCCGGTGCGCGAGGGAGCGCCCCCTCCCCCTTCCCTTCGCCGGCAGCGCCGCCGCGGTCACGCGTGAAGCCCTGGATTCCGGCGGCGGACGCGCGACCCGCTGCCTCGAGCTCGCTTGCAGGGAAGAGGGTGGAAGTTGGCTGCCCGGACAATGAGCCCGGGCCTCTCACGTGTGCGCGTCCTCGTTGTCCCGGAATGGGCGCCTTCTCTGAGCACCAGCACCCTCCTCCCGACCCCCCATCAGAGTGGACGAGTCCCCCCCACCCCCGGCTAAGTGCCAAGTCGAGCAGCCTCTCGCCCCAATCCACTCCTGCTCTGGGGAAGTTTTCCAGCGAATCTGCAAATCTCACGGCCAGGCAGCGATCAAGCCCTACCCTACCCAAGACGCAAAAAGTTAGCCAGGCCAGATGCTACGCAGGGTGTGAGCGCCGTGGGCTTGGGCCGCCCCCGCGCCCCGCAGCTCGCCTCTCCTGTCCTGCCCTCTCGCTGGCCACGTAGGGCTGCACTCGGGCTGATTCTAGATGAGGTCTACAGATTGTCCTCTTAGCAGTTGTCTTAGAGCCAGAAACCTTGTGACTCCTTAATGCCTGCTACCACTTAATAAGCACTTACTTTGCGCCAGATGGTGTTTTAAGCGCTTTGCACTGAGTCTTCTCAACAACTAGACGAAGAAGGGACCGTGGATGTATCCATTTCCCAGATGCTTAGAGAGGTTAAAGCAACATGTCTCTTTTCCCGAGTCCTACCCTGGAATCCTTGAATGAGAAACTCTGCGTTTTACCCCCTTTTTAAATTTTTTTTTCAACAAACGTCCAAGGAAATAAGGTGCAAGGCAAAAGTTGAAGATCCGGGAAGTAAGGATGTATTCAAGGTCACACAGCAGGCAAGGAAACAGGCTCTCCAGGCGGCCCACTTGGTTTCGTGCGGTGAACCACTGCACCACCCTACCTTCTGCAGGGCTGGTGGCTTTGGACAAGGCCACGTTCCAATCTGATTCCAATCTTGAGCACTTCATCTGAGTCCTGCACTCACATTCCTGTCCTGATTGCATTGTTTCTGCACTTACAGCAATGGTCCTCCTCCAAGCAGGACTGTAAGGTTTCCAAAAGTAGGGACCATGTTACATGTGTGCCTTCATACCACGTGTGTTCCATGGTGCCCGACAAATGCTAGATTCATTAGGACTTCCTTCCTCCACAATCTTATCAGACTAGGGTTTCTTTCAGTATTAGAACAAAAGGAAGAAAGGGAGCTTCTACCTCCAACTGGAATTTTTAAAAACCATACAACGTTTTATCATCATCTGGAAAAACAATGTCGCCAAATCCAGAAAGATATCTCTCTCCTTGGCCCCAATGATTTTGTAATTTGGGTTGGTTTTTTTTTTTTTTCCTCACCATTTGTTTTCTTAGGACCCTCTTTGATAATAATATATTTGTATGTAAACAAGTGGTTTTTCTTCTTTATACTAGTCTCATCTTTCAGTGATAGCACAATGAAGCCATAAATCTGGGTTAGTAACATCATAATCATTTTCCCCCCAGAAACTGTTTACAATGGGAAAAACCACTGAATTTAAATGTAATTGTCTAGCCGTGCAGGGAGACGAGATGGGTTGTAAAAGAGGTATTCTCAATTTAAAAGCAAATTATCAATAATGAGAGAAGAAATAAATGGCAGTTAATGGGAAGTTCTGCTGAAATATAATGTTTTCTGCAAATTTGCCAACAGGAATTCTTTCTCTATACTCCTCTATTTTTATTCCAAGAAGGGGGAAAAAATGAATCTAATCATTCAAGGCAGAAACACTGGCTGTTGTTTCATTAAAATGGGTAATTGCTGGGCCCTTTGATTATTTTTTTAATATATATTTTTACTATTAGAAATGAAATAAAACATATTCAACTATCTGAAAATCAAGGTCAGTCTAAGTCTGCTCTGATTTATTTATTTTAGCGTAGGAATAGGCTTAGATATATTAGCAATGAGTGTCAAGTATGACTCACTGGTACCTGCATTGCTACAAGGCTTAAGAAAGCTTAAACTGAGTGTGGGGTACATCCATTCCAATTTAAAACAAAATTAGAGTAAAAATCAATATGGCATGCTATTATGCTATTCATTTGGAAAGTACTAGTTTCTTTTTCACAATGACCTTTCTCATTCCAGGTAGAGTTTTTCTGTCATTTCTCCATGTTGCTCCACTGCAAGTTACTGAGAGGTGCTGAAGTAGACAGCTCCTTAGACAACCCGGGCCCAGGAAATCGCCCAGCTACAGTTATAAAGAACATGGAGACTTTGGCTCCTCCTACTGGATGTGAAAAATACTTTGCAATTTGTGATATAAGTAAATGTCAAAAATGATGTCTTCCATAAAGCTGGTTTAAAAAAATAAAAAAGGAATGACTTTGTAGCCTCATGCTTGGCTGAGAACTATCTAAAATGTAAATTTCATCATCTCACTTTCAAACTTAGAATCTTCCCATGGCTCCTGGTAGTTCCCCAAGATAAGGTCTAACGTCCTCTGCGTGGGTTACAAGCTCGTGGATTATCTGGCTCTTATTATATTGACTGGGGGGTGCTTTTCTCTTGCTGGTCTCCATGCCTTTGCACACTGTTCCTCCAACCTGGAATACTCCCACAGACTTCTCTTCCTCGATAGCCTCTTTTGTCTTTAGATCTCTATTTTGACATCACTCCCTCCCTGTGAACCCTCCCCCACAATGCCCAAACTCACCCCCACAGATATGGCCCTATTTTGAACTCCTCTCACAGCTATAATTAACTGTATCATGTCCTTTGTCTCAGTCTACTGCAAATGTTGTTCTCTGTTAAACTGAAAGACCTCGATGTCAAGGACTTGCCTAGTGCATAGGGCCCGCCATGTATTTTACTAAACTCTCTAAAGGTTTGGTGACCCTTCCTTCTGCCCTGAAGTTGATTGCTGTCTGGAAAGGCTAACCGTTTCGGGATGGGTTGAATAATCAACCTGCTGATCCACTTACGTAGTCCTTCATTCTCTCAGTCATCAAACACGCATCTTTCTTGAGGCTAGTCCCTCTTGGAAACCATTTATCCATAACCTAGACACAGGTTCTGCACTCAGAAAAGCTTACAGTCCCATAGGATAAGTTTGGTGCATGCATAAGTGATTGCAATTGTTTTGAAAGATTTGGCCAATACTGAATGGGAGCTTGTAGCCAGATGTGGGGGAAGGGAAGAGGGCAGGTAAAGCTTCCTAGAGAAGATCACCTCTCAACAGAGAAGACAACTAGGAATTTCCCAGAGAGCTGGGTGAAGAACATTCCTGGAGAAGAACACAGCTCGTGAGAGTGCCTGAAGCAAAACAGGACAGCGCCTTCTTGGAACAGCAAATCTGTTCACTATAAATGGAGTCACGTTGAGTTCGAGTGGCTGCAAAGTGGTGGGGCAGACAAGACAGTAGAAGCTGAAACTGAAAGTGCGGGCTGGGGAGGGCTTATCAAGGACCCCGGTTTGCCGAGACCCACCATCACCACCCGTCCCACTGCCCATGCGCGGGACATCGCTGTGCTTTCGCTGATGTTCCAGTGGCCATTTCCCCCATGATTATCTCACATTTAACAACTTCTCCAGGCAGTCAGTGTCAATATACACTGAATTCTAGGGATTAGCAGACTACTCCAAAATACTCCAGGATTTTTTGAGATGATCAGCAGTATATTGACAGGATAGGAGACAGGTGGAAAAAGAGAACTAAAAACAATCAAAGAAGCCAAGCATCCTTCCATTCCTCCCCACAAGGATATACCTTTCAACAGCAGTCACAGATGAGAGGATGTTATATTCAAATTTATTTATAAATGACTCTGGCTTCAACAAAATTCTTTGCACAAGCCTAATATTGTGTAAGACCTGCCTTGCCCTCAAGTTCTCAGTCTTCGGGCTTACCTGAAAGCTTTATCACAGTCGAGCACAATTAATGAACTAACTAAACCAGTCTGAGGACCACGGGGGAATGGATGCACCTTATACTCTCTCCCCCCCACTTAGTCCTTGGGCTCATGGCAGATACTCAATATATAGTTATTGATTGGTTGAACTAACTCACCATCTATCATGTGGTCCAGAGTTTTGATATTAACCAAGGCATTTAATACTGAGAATGAGCTATCCAGTGTCCAGGGATGAGTTCTCTTTTTCTGAAAAGACATGAACTTCCATGCTCTGTTTTAAAATGTCATTGAAATAGTAAACATAATGGTTTCTCCTCTTCTCCTCGGGCTCATCCCTTTTCCTCTCTTGCCCACATCCCCCAAATAATGATGAAAAAAACAGTAACAAAAACAGCATCCAGAGCCATGGTGATGACAAGAGCAGTAATAAAAATAACAAGCACATGACATCTACTATATAAACTCTTTAGTTGTATTATCTCATTTAGTCCTCACAGTATAAATCTAGATGTAAATACTATTATGATTTCCTCTTGTATAGATGAACAAATCAAAGTTTAATAGAAGGAGGAAATTTGGTGCTTTGGCCAAGCCAACAGAGTTAGCAAATAGTTAAGCCAGGACTCAAAACTAAGTCTGTTTATTGTGAGAGCAGGCTTCATGGGGCATAAATCATAATGCATATCATCTTTCTATTTACTAGTAGTCACACTCCATGTAGACAAGCTTAGAATTATGCCAATAATTTATTATCATGAGAGTAGAGATTCCTAGCCCATTTGTCTTGGAATAAGAAAAATACAAAAGGAAGCTCAGTAATCTGCAGCACCAAAGGGAGCCTGCATATGTAAAAAGCATTTCGAAACAAATATTTTTAGCTTGATCAGAATCAAGTAAAGATTCCTAAATACTTGGCCAGTAATAAGTACATACTCATCTATGTCTTTGGTT